GTTGGGAGAGGAGTAGAATGTGGACGGTCTGGTGTGACGAGGGAGTATTTAGGGGTCCACTGAGGCCCTGAAGGCCATACTGCCCCTGTTAGGGCTGGATGCCGGAGGGGTAGTCCTAGTTTAAAATGGCACCTCTAAAGGGAGACTTACGTTTGGATGAGCTGGTGCTGGGTACGGAAAGCCAGCGCCGGAGAAAATGGATGAGGGCGAAGCGTCAGCAGCGGAAACCGCAGAGAGAGTGAAGGAGGTCCGAGAAGGAGTCCCCTCGGGTAAGGGGTGAGCTCCTNAAAAAAAAAAAAAAAAGAAAAGCACCCCCTCAATCTTTGCACCAAAGAATCTTCTTCTGGCAGTAACTGAGGGAGTGAGGACCTACCTGGTTTTCTCTTGATTGGTGTAAATTTTTACCCGGTTGGCAGTAAAGAAGAATCTGAAATTTAGAAGAAGACAGACCATATTTTCAGGAAAAATAATCAGAAAAAAATAGTTTATGTTAAATAATGGCACTTTGAAAATATAGTTAACTCATTTTACACTTAATATTGTCACCCCCATTATACGGGTGGTAAATTAAACCCTCAATTAGAGCTGGACAAGACCTTAAAATCACCCTGTTCGAGTAACACACAGTGTTGTCAAGATGCTAGCAAAAATTTTATTTTGTTAATAGCAGTTCATTGCAATAAACAACTTGAAACTATCTCAACTATACTGATGGGAACTGAGCAAGTCTTATTCACCAAATGGGTGATAACAGATTAGTTAAGGGGCCAATTTGTTCCTTGCAGCTTAAAATAGGACAACTCTGATTTAGTCTAAGCAACAAGAAGAACATTTCTCATGAGCTGAGGGTTGAGTTAAGGGCTTTGTGCACATCAGCATGTGGATCCCCACGCTACCCTGTGAAGCAGGCATTATGTTTATGTCCGTTTTACAGACAAAGCAACTGAAGCCTGGTGAGACAGGATTTGGACCTCCATCTGCCTGATTCCAAAGCCCTTGCTCTCACCTATGACCCTATAGTGATGGTAAGTGGGTCTCTGTTGCTGTGAAATAAGTGCAGAAACACCCACTCACTCACCCCTCAGATCAGTTCTTGGGCACCAGTCAGGTTCTGTCAGTAGGTGCTGTCTGTGTTCTCTGGACACTAAAGATCTCAGAGGGGTCAATGGCTTCCTGCTGCTCATGGACCAACCCGGCAAGTCTTACCACAGGAAAAGACCACTTTATAGCCTCCAGGCCAGGAGTCTCACCCCCACCTGAAGAAACACGCTACACCAGCATGCTCGATAGAGTCTCACAACTTGTCCAAGGGCACAACGTCAGTCCGTCAACTTTCTGCTTCCCCATCCAGGCTTCGACCTCCTCATCATACTCCCTTTTGGGAAAAGGTAAAGGATGACAGAACCACCAGCAGCATGGTTAAGTGTAGATATTTTAGAAAGAGTTCTGCAAGGTGTCTGACAATCATCCTGGAGGGAATATTGGATGTATGTGCCCAACCAACACCCCTTTTCCTGCTCACCTTGTGTTGGAGAACTGCTGTCCACTCTAGAAGCACACACCTGGCCCAGGCCTGACCAGTCACAGAATAGTATTTCCTCAGTTGCAGCAATAGAATCAGGGGTGCGCTGCCCACTCAGGCACTTATGTTCAACCAGGCAATCAAACTCAAAAGGCCATACCTGGCCTGGCTCTACTCAGACACCAGGCAGGAAATACTATATACCAGCAGGACAGCATCAGATCCATTTCCTCAGAGGAAGCCAACACAGTGGGCCAAGTAATGTTCTATGGTCTCCAAGTGAGCAAGAGAACAAGCCACGTACATACCCCAAGGGGATCAGAATCTCTTGTAATGGCCCTTGGGCAAAGTTTCCAGAGGTCCCAGCAAGGTACTTCCCAGTTAAAGAACCACTACGTGCAGGGAAGCCCGAAGCTGAGTCCTCCCCACAGGGGCCTGGTTCACTCGTAGTCTTCCCAGCCCAGATGCAGTGTGCCAGTCAGTCATTTCCACCATAAGTGACGTTGCTGCTAATACAGCCGGTTCCACCTTTACCCAGGGAACAGATCTTGAGCAGGATAAGGGAAGCATTCTTATGTAGAAAGGGAAAGTGTTTTGTTAACTCTTACAAAGGGAGAGCACGTAAGCCTTGCCAGACCAATCAAAGTCATTCCTGGGACTTCTGCTGAAGCTGAAAAGAGGGCTGTCTTTTCATACCAGAAGACCATCAGCCTGGAGATGCTGGTGGCCTCCCTTGTCATTGTAAGAATGAAGTCACCTCAGAGGGGGACAGAGCTGTGCTGGTAAAAGCCAGGTACCATCTGACATCTTCTGGTCACCCTGATCCGCTCATTAATGCATCCTATGCTACTACCTCTGAACTTTTTAGTTACACCAGCCTATAAATTCCCCTTCGGTTTAAGCCACTTTGGTTTGAGTTTCTGGCATCTGTGATCAAGAGAGTCCTGAAAATATACATATGGCTCAATAAATTTGATAGTGGCAATCAAAAAAAGGGGGAGGACTGGATTAGGCAGAGAGATGAGTTTTAGTCCTGATTCTCTGGCTAACTGACTTGATTGGAACAAATCCTTTCCTTCTTTGGCCCTCAGAAAGGGGCAGAGATGTTCTCTGGAATTCCTGGGCCTAAGGCCTCGTGAACTGCAGGGGTGGAGGTCTGGCTAGAAGACTTCTGTTTTTATCTGTCTTATACATCTACACATCAGGCTTCTGTGTAACACCTCATTAGAAGAAAGGCTCTGCAGATAAAAGCAGACTCAGAAAACCACCACCTACGGCTGGCCAGTTAACCTAGTTGGTTAGAGCACAGTGTTGTAACACCAAGGTCAAGGGTTCAGATTCCCAGCCAGCCACCAAAAAAAAAAAAAAAAAAAAAAAACGCACACTTGGTGGCTTTTTTAGGATGGGAGCGGGGGGGGGAG